GACTCATCTGCAATAATGTTTACTTTGGTCCAGGGGAGGTGTAGGTCATAGTTCATTGTGTTTTTAATAACTTCTCTGATGGCATGCTCTCTGTCACTCTTTTCCAGCTTAAAGTTCATCTGGTGTTTTGTAAAATCGTTGAGTGTTTGCAAGGACTTGGGGTTTAGGACTGAGATTGAGAATTTAAGTTGAGGGCTAAAGAGATGGATTGTTGATTTTTTCTCCTCAAATTTGACTTGTATGACTTCGATGTGTTTTTCAAGGGTTCTGGTTTGTTTTATAACTGTGGAGATAAGCCAGGACTTAGAGCATTTGTCAAGAAGAGGAATTTAAAATTCTTTGGCAGGTTTTGAGATAAAAATTTGTAAAAATTTGTTGTTTTTGTAAATTATTGAGACTTTAGAAAGCCTTTGTTTGTTATCAGCAAGGACTATATCAAGAAAAGTATATTCATGGTTTGGGTTGGGAGGTTTGGGAGGAGGGCCTTCCTCCTCCTTGTTTTTCCCTTGAGATGAAATTTTGTTTTCTTGGATATTTCCTAATTTGGTAGTTTTGGTACGATCAAGAAAGAGTTTTTTTAAGAGAACTAAATTTCTGTTTTTGCTTTACAACAGTGCTATAAATATAGAATAATACTATGTCTCGACCCGGTTATTAGTGGAAGGTTTCCATGAATTAAGAGGTGTGACCGAAAAGTGATCACCTGTCCTTGCTTTGCCATAATTGCTAACTTTAATTTAGGGAATGCCAAATTCCCATCTTCGAATGTTCCAAGGGAACACATGACACATAGTGTATTAGGGTAATCTTTCAGATCCCGATAGAACTGACAAATAGAGTTAAAGTTAATACCAACTGTTGGAAAGGCACCAAAACATTTAGGAATGTTGAAACCTAGATTAAGTTTTTTTATTTTAGCATACAATTCTGGATAAGAAACATCAAAATAATCGTTAACTGTGTTTGATAATAGTTGAAGTCCTTGTATCAATTTATTTACGCAACTCTGATGGTTCTGAAAATGGTTGGATACAGTGTTTGCTATAATATAAGGCTCTATATTGCTATCTGTTAAACAACTGAATTGTTCTGCCAGGTTATTGATAAACTGGCTACTCTGATGACTGATATGTTTGCAAGTGTACTTAAAATAATCATCCACTGCAGATTGCACAACTCTCACAGATTCTGAATTGTTCAGATCAAAGAATTCAACTATTATTTTGCCAAAAGTATTTTTAATGCAATGGAATTTAGAAATATATTGATAGCTATCGAGGTGGATATTATTTATAATTTTTTTTATAGTTTCATCCACAATAACAAGCTTGTCCTTTAAGTACTGTTGGAATACTTCTAGAATTTCGTAATCTTCTAGAGGTATCATTCAAGTTTTTATTCTTGCTCATATGCATGTCTTATTTTAGCCCACAAACATTGACAATAATGCCATAATTTTTTCTAAAATTGAAAACTCTTGTAAAGTATATCCACCATCCAAATTCATTCCATAGATCTCAAAAAATCAAATCTGAAACATTAGTTTTATAGAATATCTCCACCTCTAATAATTCCAAATATTCAGTTGGTATTGAAGAGTTGCTATTATCAATCGGAACTTAATGTTTTGCAAATCACCTTTCATATCTTTTTTCTAAGAATTTTTCAATAAATGTTGACTTTGGACCAATCATTATAAAAGACTGGGATAAATTAACCGATCTGAGATCCTTGGTGTCAAAATCCTCAAAAACCCATTGTGACTGAATATAATCAATGGTTTCTTCTTTGGTAGATTTTCATGTCTCTATTTGTGTTTTATGCTAAAAGAAAAAAAATAATTAATATCAATATCAACTAGAAACAATAGATTTTGCCCATGCCAATTTTGCTAAAGTGGATACACACAAATTACTTCTTATCTAATAGCTTAGTGGTTTAGTAGGTAGCATATCAAATCTATCTCTCCTCACTAATAGATAATGATAATTTGCCAACTATGTCCTTAATAAAAAAGCTTTGCAAGTGAGGATTCAATTGGCCCCTAGACCTACCTCAAAAGGTAATGACTGCCCCTATACTTTTAGCTTTGTTTATATATTCGATTACTAGCTAACTCCTTTACTTACTTTTGTAGAATCGTAAAATATTTCGCCACAGTCTTTTTTTATTGCAGGATCTATTTGTTCATCATTTTTCGATTTTTTGATATATCATTGCATTTTCCTATGTTGGTTCTGGTTAGAGGTTTTCATGACAACTGGTTAAAAGTTTATACAAATGAGAAAAGGTAAGAAACTAATTTTTACTGTAAACAATGATGCCTTACCTTTAGATGCATTCATTCCTGATTTTGCTTATGAATTATGAACAGTATGTTTATTATTAATTAGGAAGAGAAAAAAGACAAAAGCAATACTGTTCGATGAGCCGTTAGAAATAAATTCCTAGAGCTAAGTCTTACTCATCCACATAAGTGGCCTTGCTATGCAAGAGAAAAATTGTATTCACTTTTGCATTAAAAAAAAAGAAGCATAGGTGTGGTAATTATTAATCATCAATTGGTAAGAAGTATATATATATGATAAACAACTAATCAGTATAATGCGCTAATTATGATCTGCAAATCATAATGGCTGAAACATACATATCGATAATACATAACAGTTGAAACACAATGTACAAATTGTATAGTCAAATTTGTTATACTTTGTATTTTGCAGTTTTCTATGGAAGAAAAAGTTAATTGGATGGATCGGTTATATAAGTGAAATTTATGTCATGTGAGGACAAAATCCAGATTATGCAAATACCAAAACACTTGTTATAAAAAAATATAAATATATTTATATAATCACGAGGGTCAGCTTTATTAATATATGAAAAAATATATAGTAAATATGGTATAGATAATAAAAAAATCAAAAGGATTCAAATCTAATTATCATATAGAGGGAATGATACTGTTGAACTATCTTCTATAAGCCTAATTGATTTAGGTAAAGATGTATTATAAAGTAAGGTTATATTAACAATAAGAATATTTCATAATATTAGCAAGGTTTCTATAAATTTTACAACAACAGAGAAAGTTAATTGTTGAATCAGTATTTTTGATTTGTGGAGATGATAATAACAATGTACCTCACTCATATTCCTAATAAGAATACTTAGACATATTTTCTTTCCCATTATCTATATTTTAATAATATCAAATTCATCCTTATCAGGCTTACAACTCTTATAAGTCCAATACATACCATTATTAACTTCACGCCACAACTTCACTTTATCGTCTTTTTTCTTTTGTGTTGTACAAGTCAGACATGAACATTCAGTATATAAAAGTTTGTAATTTTTTCCATTATGTTTCATTATGATCATAATATCTGGCCGTTTCCCTAGCCACCCATCATCCTTTTTATTCACACTAACACTGCTTTGACATTCAGAACTACTAACAAAGGTGGATTTTCCTAGAGGAAGACACTTTAAGGTAGCTTGTATAGTGGGTAATATTACATTATTTACATAAGTACCTTCACTTTGTGATTCAGCAAACTCAAGATTAAATGCTGAATTATTCTATGTATCATTCAGAGTACCCAAAATTTTTGATGCAACCTTTGCAAGCTTCTCATTTGATTCCTTCCACATTTTATTATGCATAAGTTTTCATGATAAACTGTCTTTATCTATCTCAATAAAGTTTTCTACAAATTCATTGCATTTTCTTGTATAATATGTGGAGGGGATGAAGGCACCATTTGCCACACTGGTTTCTTATAAAATAATAAATTAGAATACGACTTTCATTAACTTTTTTTTACTGTGCCAGCTCTGTTGAAAAAAATACTCACCATAAAAGAGTCCCTTAATTGCATATGTAAATTTTATACTAAATCTGAATCGTTGCTAATTACTTGACTAGCTAGAGAATTTTTCAAGTTAACTCCGAAATGAATATATTATTTATACTGAAAAACAAATACTGGTAAAGCTGTGCAGGATTTTTTTTAAGTTTTTCTTTTAACATCTTGATATTTTTTTCTATTTGATCAAAACTAAGAGACCTTTCTTTATTCGTTTTCACTGCTCTAATGATACATAAACTACAGACAGTTTTATATGAAATTTCGAACTAATACAGATATACAATTATTAATTAGTTACCACAAATATATTTTTTATAGCGGACATTCACAACTGGATCAAAGCATCTACCAAAGCCCTTACAATATTCTACAACCTCACGTGGAAACCCCGTTGTAGCACAGCAAATATTTCATCTTCCATGGGTATCAAATAGAATGAAACACTTAAAAAAAACAATACAAAGAACAACAAAGCCAACAATAACAACCTCAATCCTAAAGCAAGCACTTCAAGAGCCAACTTCACCCCTCACATTGACAATAGCTCAAATTCTCAAAACAGTGTTACAATAATTGATCTCCCTACATTAGTTGCAGAAACATTTATCCAAAACAACTTTAATTTCTCATTATGTATTTCTAATTTTATTTCAAACCGCCACAAGTTTATTTCTCAAAATAACTCTGAATAGGCATACATAGCTACTCGGCATCATTTGATTAGTATACTAGTTTTAAAATGTCTTTTCTAGTAGAAGTTAAATGATTACTGTAGGCAGGCTAGCATTAAACTTACTGCTAATCGTATATAAGAGATGTTGTTTCTTTCCAAATGTATACCTTGTAATATATGAATAAATAAAGAAATGGTGTTTACCTATTCAAAAAAAAAAAAAACAATTATTAATTAGTTTTCAAAAAATAATAAAAAATAATTGTTAAAAAAACGCATATGTCGTTAGAATATAAATAAAGCTATATGATTGTGTGGTTAGCTACTCCAATACACAAATAAGACTTTATGTAATACTAAACAACTATATTTATCTGGCCTATATAACCTCCATACTGTCAAGGAAATTTTCCTGTAAGTGGGCTACTAGGATATTTAAACTATTACTTAGAACTGTATTACAATCCATGTTATTTATTATTCGATATTAATATTCTATTTACTAATAAAAGTTAGATAACTTACTTTGGGTAGAATTTTGAGAAGTGTCATATGGTGTGATGAATCTCGAATATTTCGATTATTAATAAATACCACCATCTGTTCTATAAGACCCCTTAACTCATTTTTTTCTATCTATGGATCATCTTCTATAGCTTGGTAAATAACAGATCCAGCAGTTATGTGGTCTTCTTCTGCATTAATCAGGAAATTGTAAATTTTTGTTTATAAATCAATAGACATATTAGCTTTGTTATATCTTAAGTTAAAATGATAAACAACTACAATATAAATATACTGTACTTTTAAAACATTTTTACCTGCCATTTCTACCTCATTTAGATATGGGTAAAATAGATTTAGGGAATGTGAAAGTGGAGCGATGCATGATGAAAAAAAACTTTTCACAAAGAAAATGTGAATGCCACAAGTTAGTAAATCAGATTTGGAATTTATAGCAACAATCAGCAGGTTATACAAATAATTTGTATATGTAGATGTTCCAAGATCTTCTAATTTATTCTGTGATATATACATTTTGAAGTAATGGCACTCAAGTGCCTGATTGAATATCTGTTTTACATAATTGAATTTATTACTTTTCCAAGACATTGTGTTCACAAATTTTTATTTTTTTAGTTATGGAATGGCATTTCATCATATACATATCTGAAGGGATATATGCTATGAGTAATAGTAAATATCAAACAAATTTCTCCAAAACTGCGATTAAAGAAAATCTGGATATATTTTGAAGCAGTATAAAAAAGATAATCGGGATAATTGTTGGATTATTAAAGGACCGAATTAGTGTGGATAATTCTCCAGTTAGTAAGAGAGCAAGAATAAAAAAATTACAAAAAAATAGTGGTTAGGCTCAAAGAGCCATGATTCAGAGAAGAGACAGAGTCTCGAATTTTCAATTCATCACCTAATGGCTTGTTTTACAATAGATAGTTTAACTACCCTCATATATTTGTACTGTATCAATAAAACAGTTAGACCTAAACAGTCTTTTTTTTTCGATAATTAATTTTGTGTGCAATAATAATCATTTTTTTATTTAAGATCATTACCAAGATCTATTCAAGACCATCGTCCAGGAATATCAATTCTATTAATAGATAGAGTCTAAGATATTGACTAAAGTGGGTATAAAACAAAAAAATCTGTTACTTGATTATATTTTTAATTATTATGTTTCTTTCCAGTCTTAAAACCCTTGCATATAACATTCTAAAGGAAACGGGCAGAAGTATTGATCAAAATATTAATAATACAGAACTGTCACCATGCTCAATATGTAACAAGAAAATTTTAATACTTACATATGAATCGTTTACTGTTCTCAGTAGTTGTGGCCACATTTTTTACAAAATATATATTGAGAAAAAAATTCTGCTTACCATACCAAATACATGTCCCTTCCCTAAGTGTGGAAAAAATATCGAGCTTATTGATGAAGTCTAACAACGAGACTTTGTATCTTCTGAAATAAGTGATATTTCAAATCTGGCTGATAAATTTACTTGTAATGTTGGATTTAGTTCTCAAAAAAATTTGTTTCAGGATCAAGATATGGATATGAATGATAAAGATGAGAACAAGGAAGAAGAGAAGGAAAAGGAATCTCAAGTTGAAATCCAATCTGATTTGACAGGTAAAAAGTGAACCAATGAAGCTACAAATGTATCAACCAAAAATTCCTCCAATAAAAAAGTTAAGAAAGTGATTAAAGATGAAGACTCAATCATGCTAAAAAGGCTTATCTGGGAGTTATCTTCCAATACTACTTGAATTTCTGAAATTAAGGAGAAAAAAGGTCTTTACAAAGAATCTGTATGAGAAGTTGAGGGTTCTTGAGTTTTTTTAATCTATATTGAAAATATTCAAGGCTGAGGAGCATAGTGATAATGCATGTCATGAAGTTTTAAGAGCATATTATTTTTTTGGAAAGGAACTAGAAAAACGTCTTTCCGAGTATAATCAATTTATGGAAGAACATGAGGCCCAGAAGAAAATCAACGAAGAAGTTAAAGATCAGCTCCCAAAAGAAATTACTAAACATACACTCCGAAAGAAAACAGAAAGAGCTAAAAAAGTATATGATCTTTTTTTCAAATTGATGGTGATAAAGTTCAACGAATGACATACAGTATATCCAGCGAATAAAACTTTTACTGCATCATTGATTTCAAATTTAAGTTCGAAAAATATCAAATACATAGCATTACAGATTAGGAAGAATATTAGACAAACTTAATTCCGGATAAAATATGGTGGTCACATGACTACAATGTAACTTGACCATAACTGGCTGTCACAGTCTCGAAGTTTGGCACTTTTTTTATATGTAATATTGTAAAGCAATGACATCTATACTACATAATAAAGTAATGTGAACTATACATTATATATTTATGACTGATTCATTATCAATCTTAATTGGATGACTTTCATATTTTTTCTCTGTCTAAATACATAAAATAATAAATATGGCAACTTTATATGGGAATAATACTGATATAGATTCTATTATTTCATGGAGAAGTATGATCCAGGAGACTACCACTACCTCTTTTACTTCTATTTCTAGTATCGAAGAGACTGATGAAATAAAAAATATCATTTTTTTTGGTGGAAAACTGGCAATATGCACCTGAAAGCCAAGTGGGAGGAATCTATGTAGGTCTCCTTCCTATTTGCTTTGACAACTGGCTATTTTATGAGCCAATTGCTAATGTCAGCTGTTATTTATTATCAAGTTTACCATACAAACTTGTTACTGGTATTCCTTATGATACTTATGTTAAACAAATGGATAGACACAATATTTATAGATAATGGGAATAGAAAAATGGGACTATCTATGTTATTAAACTTCCCTCGATATTTCATGAGAGTTGTGTTAATGCTATTGCCGATGAAATTATGGAAACACTTAGAGATGTAAAAAGTACCAATACAAGCATTCTTGGTCTAGAAGCAATGAGTGGGTGTTTTTTTTGGTTTTTTTAATTTCAAATATTTTTTCATTACCAATTACATGTAACTGGATAAAAGCAACAAAATCACGAGAATCAGGTAAAGAGGCAGACACATCATTTTGACCAATGGCAAAATCTTGAGTAAATAGAAACAGATGTAACACAAGTGGATATGAAGAGTTATTGACTTAGTTCATTTTCTGATGTAATTGTTTTAAATTTTTGGCATTAACAATAACATTGCATTTTTAGACCCAGCCCTGGCCAAATCTAGTAGTGGAGGTTGTGTATGCATAATCTGAAGTGGATATCAAAAATAAAGTAGAAAATTATTGGCTTCAAGGTGGTCAAGCTTATGATACTATTGTGATTAAAATAGAGGAACTTATCACACCAGCTACAAGGCCATCAGTAATGACTGTAAGTAATGACATGACTTGATTCCTGATAAATTGCTTTGGCACTGACTGATATTTTATATTTCTAATAGGCTTGACATTACTGTATAAATAATCGAACAGCTACTGGTATACTAGATTCTACAATGGTATATTACATTATTATATACTTTTTATTTAGCATAAAGTTAAGTCTGTAAAAAGTTAATTTAAGGTATTTTTT